GCTTAGAAAATGTTTCTGGTTAAGGATTTAGTTAAGAAATTGTGATGCTTTCCATTGGTCAGATCTATTGTGTAAATACGTGTAGTAGAATGTTGAGCATTTATATTGAGTATTTTATATGCAAACCGTTCCTTTTTATACTGATTTGCACATTTTTACTTGAAAAGTTTATTTATATTCTTCAGTATAACTGCTGTGATAAGATTATTAAATCAAAATCACTACTGAATTTTATTTGAGGCATGAAAATTAGATTCTAAGATTTTACTTCATCGTATTCTAATAAACTTTTAAAACCCCAGGGACTCTTTAATTTCCTCAAAGAAATGACTTTTCTGTAAAATGAAGATACTTTTTTTAAAAAACAACAAACAATTTTTTAAAAACATTGAGGGGGAATCGATGATGTTAAGATGTTAATGAGATAGTTTTGAGTGACAGTAGTGTGTGAAGTACATTGGTTGGCATTATATATACATCTATGGTTTTGACATTATATTTTAAGATTGTTTTTTGCCATACGCTATTTGATGAAGTCACTTCTCTTCCATTCAACTCAGTTGAATTAATTTTTGTTGTTGTTGTTGCTGTTGTTATGTGCCGTCTAGCTGGACTTGACTCCTTGGGTTTCCGAGGCAGTATCACTACGGAAGTAGATTGCCCCATCTTCCTTCCAAGGAGTGGCTAGTGGGTTTGAACCGCCAGCCTTCTGGTTAGCAGTCAAGTGCCTTAGGCACTATGCTACCAGAGCTCCTGAATTAATTTTTACACGGTCACAATTTAATGAAGCACTAACTGTTTGTTTCCAAGCATGTAAAGTGGATGTTTAAATTTTTCAGCACTGATTGCTCTAAAGGAATACAGAGCCCCTAAATGAATTTTGGTATCCCAACATTTTATACATAGGATTTCTCATATTTCACTATTATTGATTATATATTTGTTTTCCAAGATTAGATTGTAAGGAGCTGTGTGAAGAAAATGTCTTAATCTTCTTATTTCCCGAGTACTCCTCATGTAATCTTTGGCTCATAGTAGGTGTTTGGGACTCTTGGGGTAAATGTTGCGAGGGAGAACTTGGGAAGCATAGGCCTTGGTGAGAGAAGTTGTTGTGTGTGTGTGTGTGTGTGTAAGAGAGAGAGAGAGAGAGAGAGAGAGAGAAAGAAAGAGAGATGATTCAGTGGTACTGGGCATCTGAGGAATTGGAATAGGAATAAAAGGTAGAGGACTTTGGTGAGTCACATTTCACTGTTTTAGATTTGTTCTAGGCCAGTAGTAGGACAAATTCTTAACTTATCCAGTCTCAAACTTGTTTTGTTGTTTTCCTAAAATCCGTGTTTGTTGTTGTTAGGTGCTTTGAGTTGATTCCGACTCACAGCAACCTTATGGACAACAGAATGAAACACTCCCCAGTCCTGCACCATTCTCACAATCTTTGCTGTGCTTGAGCCCATCATTGAAGCCACTCTGTCTCAGTCCATCTCATTGAAGGTCTTCGCCTTTTTCACTGACCCCGTACTTTACTAAGTGCAATATCCTTCTCCAGGGACTGTTCTTTATGACCACATGACAGAAGTACGCCAGACAAAGTCTGACCATTCTCGCTTCTTAGGAGCATTCTAGCGGTACTTCCAAGACAAATTTTTCATTCTTCTAGCTGTCCATGGTATTTTCAGTATTCTTCGCCAGTGCCACATTTCATATGCATCAATTCTTTGGTGGTCTTTCTTATTCATTGTCCAGTTTTCACATGCATATAAAACTAATGAAAATACCATAGCTTGGGTCAGGCATACCTTAGTCTTTAAAGTGACATCTTTGCTCTTAAAACTGTTGAAAGAGGTCTTTTGCAGTAGTTTTTTTCCCAGTGTAGTATGTCAAACGACTTCTTGAATGTTGCTTCTCTGGATGTTGATCCATGTTTAGAATTTAATATCAGTTCCTAAAACCTATACTTATGGAAGGCTACAGTAGATCCAGCATCTCAAAAACATACACATTCAAGTTTATAATGTAGTTTATGAACTTTTACTTAACAAAGCCCATTAGGTTTTTCTTAGATTGATGTGAGCTTGATTTGTTATGCCAGGTGTACTGGTAGGAATTAGAAGTATTTTCTTAAAGCAGTTCACAAAATTATATCCAATTAATGCACTGTCTTGTGATGGTCATGATATATTTTTGATCACATTTATCTGTTCATTCAGTACATATTTGAGTATTCATTAAATGCCATCACTGTTCTTTTAGGCACTGGAGTTAACAGCAGTGAACAAAACAGAAAAAGTTCCTGCCCTCCTGGAGTTTATGTTTTAGTGAGGGGAGATAAAAAATAAAAAGTAAGATAAGTCAGGTAGTGATAAAAACAGTTGGGAAAAATAAAGGTGGAGGATAAAAATAGAGAGTTTTGTGTCTTTGTTAGACAAAGACAGAGTTTTGTGTAGGTAGGTATACACACATGGTAATTTTAAAGAGTAGGGTTTTCATGGAAAGCCTTTTTGATAAGCTTTGAGCAGAGAACTGAAGAAAGAAAGTAGATCGTATGTATCTATTCTGGAGGAATGCTCCAGGGAGAGGAAACAGTAAAGACAAAGACAAAGAAGCACATTTGTGACGAATTTGTGAAACAGGGAAGCCAGTGTGGCTGAAGTGGAATGAGTAAGAGGGGAAGAGAGTGATAGAAGATGAAGGAGATGGGGCAGACCCTGTAGGTTCTTAGAGACCGAGGTAATGACTTTGGTTTTTCTCTGAAACAATCTGCTTTGACTTAATCTTTTGAAAGGATCGTCCTTGCTGCTGTGTTGAGAATGGACTATAGTGGAAGCAGGGAGAGTGGAAGTGATAGGAAAGGGTTAGGTTAAGGACATATTCCTGATGGATTGGAAGTGAGGTGTGAGAGAACGAGAGTAACTCAAGGATAACAGTCAAGGTTGTTTGCCTGAACAACTAAAAGGATAAAATTGCCATTTATAGAGATGACAAGACTTCAGGACAATCAGGTTTGTGGGGAAGTGGGATGGAAATCACAGGGTTTTTCAGTGGTCATGTTATGTTTGAGATGAAAATTAAAACATCTGAGAGGTAACCACCACAATTACTGGAATGAGAGATACAAAAGCCTAACTGTTGAATGGCAATTGGATGATTTCTAGGTTTTGGCTATTACAGATAAGGATGCCATGAATATTCATGTATAGGTCTTTGTGTGAACATTGGTTTTTAATTTTTTTGTACAAATACCTAGGAGTGGAATGAGTGACTGAATTGTGCAGTAGATGTATGCTTAACTTTTAAGAAATTACCAAATTATTTCCCAAAGTGATTCTACCATTTTACATTCTTATCAGCAGAGTTGCAGTCAACATATGGTATGATCACCATTTCGTATGGTTAGTCTTTTTTAATTTTAGCCATTCTGGTGGGTGTCAAATGGTATATCATTGTGGTTTTGGTTTGCATTTCATGGCTACTACTCTGGTGTTTCACCTTCATAAAACAAAACAAAAAAAACAAACCCATTACTATAGAGTTAATTACAACTCATAGTGACCCTATAAGACAGGGTAGAACTTCCCTCTAGGGTTTCTAAGACTAACTTTTAGGGAAGCAGACTTCCATATCATTCTCTCACAGAGTAGCTGGTGGGTTTGAACCTCCAACCTTTTGGTTAGCAGCCAAGCACTTAGCCACTTAACCACAGTCTGTGTCACCAGAGCTCTAGCCTCTTATCTGGACTCCTTGCTTTACCACATAGTCCATTCTCAAGTACTTATTTGCCATCTGTGTATCTTCTTGGGTGAAGGATCTGTTCAAATCTTTTTAAAAATCATTTAAAAAAACATATTGAGTTGTCAGATTTCTTTAACTCCTAGATATAAGTTCTTTATCAGATACATCAGAAAGTATTTTTTTGTTTGTATGAAAAAAACAATTTCTATCAACTTTATTTCTGTATTAAAAAGATCACTTTATTAATTTATTTGCACTAAATAAAACTGGATTTTAGGATTGTATTTTCTTATAGTAACATGAATCATAGGATAGAAGAAGAAAAATTCTGCTTTCTGATGTGTCAACTTCTTAAGGGAAAGTATAGAATTATGATCTTGAATTGTCAGCAAATAAGAGTGCTATATTTAAAAGTGCTTGTGCCTGCCTTTCTAAAATGCCTAATTACAAGTACATAAAATATAGTTACTAGGTCCTAACGAAATTTACAGAATTTTCATGTATTTTTTTTCAGTGATTTCAAATAATTATTTCTTAGATAATGTTTCAAAGTATAAAAAGGTGTCCTAATTTTTTTCTTTACAAAGTAAACTTTAAAAAAAAAAAAAAAAAAAAAAAAACAGAACATAGGGATTAGCAAAAGATTTCTCAGCTTTACTAATATATATGAAAAACAATTTTAATTATACTTAAATTTATACATGTTAACAGTTCTATTGTTAACCTGGGGAAAAAAGTAGCAAAACATTACATTAAAAAATTTAGACTGTCATTTGCAAAAGGACAACAAAATAGTTTAATTTCTTTTACCTTTGAGTAAGCAACATTTGAAAGCATCTTATTTTTTCATTAAGATCATTGTCACATAGTATGTTTATATGATATCTGTAGCTATATGTATAGTTACAGTTTTTATTTTATTTTAATTAAGGTCTTAAATTACCTTGATCCTATCTCAGGTTCTGTATCCTTTTTTGAATATAAACATTTTTACAACTTTTGAGAGATTCATTTCAGCTAAGTGTTTTGGAAAGGCTAAGGGTAATTTAGTTAATGCGTTTAACAAATGAGAGTAATATAATAATGTGGATAAAACATTTGCAAATAATTACCCTGAGAGAAAAAAATTATGAGTGTAAAAAAGAACCATATCTGAGTCACTTTGCAAACATACAGAAAATGAAAATTGTCTAAAAATTACCTTGTTTTTCAAAATTCACGTTGGAAATTTACTGATACGCAGTAATAACGTTGACTTTTTTTCCCCCCAGATATGGCCGCGTGGAAAGTGTCAAAATTCTCCCCAAGAGGGGATCTGAAGGAGGAGTGGCTGCCTTTGTGGATTTTGTGGACATCAAAAGTGCACAGAAAGCTCACAACTCAATCAACAAAATGGGAGATAGAGACCTACGCACGGATTATAATGAACCAGGCACCATTCCGAGTGCTGCTCGGGGATTGGATGATACAGTTTCCATAGCAGCTCGTAGTAGAGAGGTTTCTGGGTTCAGAGGAGGTGGTGGAGGGCCTGCTTATGGCCCGCCACCATCACTTCATGCGCGAGAAGGACGTTATGAGCGGAGACTTGATGGGTAAGTTCCAAGGTTTCTGTAGGCAGGTATTTTGTATTTGATTTGGTGAGAAACAGAAACTCATAATTAGGGGCCCCAGATGGATTTAAAGTTTTGGGCATTCTGAATGTTTCCTAATTTGGGTTGGAAACAGAAGTGATTTCTATCCCAGTGGCTGGTATCTTATGGAATCATAGAGGATATTTCCTGCAGCTGGTTGGATATCTACTCTTGAGATAAGGTGGTGGAAGATTTCTTATGGAAGCATCTTTTTTGGAGTTACCAGTCTTCTAGAATTAATGATTCCCTTTCTTGGATAATGTTAAGGCCTTCCTTGGATATATCCTTTCTACCTGATGGAGCTATGTGGCTACAACTTTTGTGGTTGTACTATATGGAATATTTTCGGAATATTAGCGCCTACAGATTATTTTAGAAGTTGCTATTTGCTTCTCAGTTTTCACTACTTGAAGTTTACAAACAAATTGGATTGTCATGCACATAAAATCTAGTAGACCATAATTCAACCGCTTGGATTCTACAAACAATACTTAAACCTGGAAATGTGTACTTGGATGAAGAAGCTAGAAGGCAATGTTTGATTTTTTTCCATTTTGGATCTACATAATTTCCATGTTGGAATTATACCTCTTGATGGAACGGGGAGAAATTGAGATGATGGATGTTCCTAAACCCTGGAATATAGCCATTCTTTTCGAGTTGTTGGAATGTATGGGATGTCGTACAATCAAGACTCCATTAGTCCAGGGGAAGAGGATTACTATCTTGTTTCTTAAGCAGTTGCTGTCCAATTAAAGGTACTTTAGCTCCGAATACATGGTGATCAGTGTGGATACAGCAATCAAAATTGACTGGGCTGGATGGCTACAAAGGTGAACTGTTGGCAAGCAACTGCACATTCTTCATTTGTTGGAATTGTAGAGGATATTTCTGCCAGCTGTCTGATTCATACTTAGAACTGGAAATTTTATAAATGTGGATCAATTTCTAATTGTCTACTATCTCAAGAAAGAAGTCTGGGGGTTTGAGAGTTACAGTTTATCTGGGACTACTTGCTTCCGGTGGAATTATTTTGTCTGGTCACTAAGATTTTTTTTTTCTGGTGGTTCATCTAAATATCATTTGACACCCTTGCCCATTAAGAAGGTGGATTACCCCCATAAGAGGGGCCAAAATTGGGGAAGTTATGTTCACAATTCTCTCCCTAGATTTAATTGGGATTATAGGTCGTGTTTCCACACTTGGAAAAGGTTGGTATGTCCTGACCTGTGTATATTAGCCCCTCTCCTAACCCAAGTCAAGCTCTCTTTCTTTTTCCCACTAACTCTAGAAGTATTTAGTACTAATAGATGATTCAAAGAATAGCCATTAGATTTCAGCTCTGCTGGCTCTTGTGCTTGCCTTCTGTACCTTCCTAATGGATAAGAACCTTGCATATTTATTTTATATATATATATATATATATATATATATACACACACACACACACATATACACTCATATATACACACATATACATATATATGTATATATGTAGTAATTCTAAAACTATTGCCTATTGTTCCTGTTATATAATTAAAAAACAAAATGCTTTCACTGATTAACATTTGATAGGGTACTAAATTATTTATGAAATTTTGTTTTAAAGGAAAGCCTCTTCTTTGTTAGTCATTGAAACTCTATCCCGGTTCCAGAATTGTAGCTAATAAAAAAAGAGAAAGTTATTTAATGCAGTGTAAGTAGAAAAGATATTTGAATTTTTTGCCATGCCACTTGCTTTTCATAGTAGCAGCAGAAACAACCTATGAAGGTACAGTTGCTACTAAATTAAATAGTGGTTGAGAATGAGGCTTAGTAAGAGATCTGGATTTATGCATATATTAAGGGTATATTATTAGTTGTAGAATTTTTGCCACATTTTATTGGGGGAGATTCTTAATTCTGTATCTTTCATGATATCTCTAATTTTTTTGATAGATGATAGACCAAAAGATGAAGTTAAAGAAAAACTCAATTGAAATGGTCTTTTAGGAACTCAAGAGCTGAGTTCTAGTTCCCTATTAAAGTAGAGAACTTAAGACTTTAAAAAATATAATTAGAATTAGTTTTTAATATTAGTACATAATTGCATGTGTGTAATTTTAATGTAACAATTTTTGTACCTTTAGGTTGACAGATATTCATATCATACTTAAATATTTTTAAAATTAAGCCACTTTAACCTTAAAGTATCTTATAGCTTCCAGCATAGCCTAATTTCATCATAGACAACTTGAGTATAGCTAAAAGAACATATTTCTTATGAAATACATATATAAACATATCTAAACAAATTGAATCCTGGAATGGACAATTTATTTTTTAAATTATCTGGGATCTAGTAGTATGAGATAAAATAGCCATTATTATTTAATTAGTTTAGTTTACATACAGTAGCATGTGATGATCCATTGTTTCTATTATCTTTACTTATTTTTTTTTAAAAGTTATTGACATTTTTATTATTAAATATGATTATTTGGGCACAGCAATTTATATATTCTAGAAATTTTTACAATTACCCAAGAAGTCAAAAATTAATGAGAAAACTCACACTTAAAATTTTTTTTCTGGACTTCTTTGATAAAAGTGCCTTCCTATTGCTGGGACATGCATTATAGTAGGGCTTTCATGTCTATGTTAAAATGTATCATGGAAATTTTGCCTGAAATAAATTGGCAAAGTAAATAACACTGTGCTATATACTTTAATCAGATGAAAGTGTAGAAAACATTAATATGACAATCTCTACTTATTTGGTTAAACTTAAAGTGAAAAGGAGATGGCATATGTATATTTTTGTCTTCAATTCAGAAAATCCAGAGGAGCAATGACCTGCAGCACTAGTCATGAAAGCCCAATATACTATTAAAACAATGATTGCTCAGCTGTGAAAATAATTTTTCAAGACAAATAAAATGTTAAGCTTGCTTACTAAGTAGGTAAATGCTGTGTAGAAAATGACCAGTGACAAAGACAGTGCTGAAGTGAATGTTTGCATGACTTGCTTTTAGTTTTGCTTGCCCCTTTTTGATTGATTAAATGTTTTTCCCCCCTCCTAAATGCAGGGCTTCAGATAACAGGGAGCGTGCTTATGAACATAGTGCCTATGGACACCATGAACGGGGGACAGGAGCGTTTGATCGGACAAGACATTACGATCAGGATTACTATAGAGATCCTCGAGAGCGGACTTTACAACATGGGCTATATTATACTTCTCGGAGTCGAAGTCCAAACCGCTTTGATACTCATGACCCCCGATATGAACCTAGGGTTCGGGAGCAGTTTACACTGCCCAGTGTGGTACACAGGGATATCTACAGGGATGATATTACCCGGGAGGTACGAGGCAGAAGGCCAGACCGGAATTACCAGCACAGCAGGAGTCGGTCACCACATTCATCCCAGTCTAGAAATCAGTCTCCCCAGAGACTGGCTAGCCAAGCATCTAGACCCACAAGGTCCCCTAGCGGCAGCGGCTCTAGGAGTAGATCCTCCAGTAGTGATTCATTCAGCAGCAGCAGTAGTACCAGCAGTGACAGGTAGGTTAACAGCCTTTTATTATGATAGACAAGCTGTTAAGTAAAACACAATTCTCAAAAGATCAATGGTTGGTGAAGGTAATGGTTTTGTACTATAGCAGTTTTTTTTTTTTTTTTAGAAGAAAGCAAACCTGGATCGTGTGTAATGAGTAAAGAAACATGGTCTAGCAATTATTAGTAGATTGAATTAACCATTCTTTCAAGTGCCTGAAGCTAAGAGATGTTTTGCGAATGGTTTTTTATTCTCAATATTACATTTTATGCTCAATATTAAAATTAAATTGCTAAAAAGGTAGAGAAGTGGTAACTTTAGTTATATAAAATGGTAACTTCCAGTGACATTGACAATGAGTTTTTAATTTCTTAACTGTGTAATACCACCTTACTTTTTATTTTTGTTAAAGCTATTTGGTTTTCAAATAATGTATTAGTGAAGTATATTGTTGGTTCATTTATTATAAATGACTAAATCAACTTATAAACATATTTTAACTAATTTTAACATCAGGATGGTAGCCAATTTTCAAATTCAAATAGAAAAGCTTTCTTTAAATGCAAGTTGTAATTTTATTGTTCATTAAGACTGAGTATATTTATTCTATTAGTTGAGAATTCTTATAGAGGAGTTTTATTCCAAAGACGAAAATAATAGATTGAAAGTAATCTTAATAGGAAACTTGGTTTAGAAGTTAAATATGTGGGTTTTGAAATCACAGATCTAAGTAGAAGGTATAACTTACTGTTATCACAATCTTGAACAAATCACTTAAACTCTCTAGGCCTCGACTTTCTCATCTTTTATACTAGGAACCTTACTTCATAAAGTTACTGTGAAGGTTAAAATGAAAAATACATGAAAATGCTTAGCTTGATACCCAAATTCATTGCTGTCTGTTGATTCCAATTCATAATGACCCTATGGGAATGAGTAGAACTGCCCTGTAGGGTCTCCAAACTGTAATCTTTATAGAAATGGACTACCACAGCTCTCTCCTGCTGAGTGGCTGGTAGATTCAAACCACCATCCCTTTTAATGCAACCTTTGCTTGAAACCCAGTACATGTTAAAGAAATATTTAATAATTGCTCTTAATGATTGTTAGCTATTATTATTACTACCTCACATGTTGATAGTCTTTGGACAAAGAAATTGGTTACTTTAATTCATTCCCATTTCCACTTGTTTGACCTCTTAATTCCAGATATCCTAGTTTTAAATTTAGGTGGTATATATTTTAAATTTATAGGATACAGATCTTTTGACCTGATTAAGTTGCTTGGACTAGTTATTTTTCTTTTTGTATTGCCTGCTTAGAATCAGTTTAAAAATAGTAGATAGTCATATAATTGAATGACTGCTTTTAGGCCTACTACATTTTCTAAATTAAAATAGTAAATGCAAACATGATACATATTTATCTTGATCTTCATACATTCTGAAAGATGCAGTATGGTATAATGAAACAAGCATTTAATTGAAGAGGTCAATTAGGCTCTGGTTCCAGCTCTAAACCATAGATGAAACCCAGACGCTCTCTTGATCTCATGTGGTGTACTGGTCTATGTAAATAGTTGATGAGATCCCTTTGAACTCTATAAACTGTTTATAAAATCTTGTGTCACACTTTACATAGTGTTATCTAAGATACTCAAGTGTTAGCCATTTTCCCCAAATCTACTTTATTAAAGGATTGCTGCTACATTCAGTTGGATCTAAACTTACTGAAAAGCCAATCTATTATACAGGTATTGAAGTTAGAGGAGAAACAGTGATACAGGACCTTCATAATGCCATTGTGCTTTGGTGGAAGTTACAATGATTTTGAATTAGAGGTTTGAATCCAGAAGTGATCTGATGACTTTGATGGAGCTGTTTATCTAGTTGGGGAAAAGCATCTGTTTGCTTCTGAATATTTATTTATGACCAGAAGACAACTGCAAATGGGCAAGGTTTACTTAGAAAATATACATGAGGAACTAAATTACAGTTAAAGAGTTGGTGATCAAAAGGACTTATAATGACTACTATATCAAGTTATGGGAGCTCTGGTGGAATAGTGCCTAAGGCATTTGACTGCTAACCAGGAAACTGGTGGTCCAAACCCACCAGCCACTCCTCAGAAGGAAGATTAGGCAATCTATTTCCCTAGACATACCACCATGGAAATCCAAGGAGGGGTAGCTATGAGCCGAATCTACTCGATGGTGTGAGTTTGGTTTTGGTATATCAAGATATGATAACTAGATTTATATCACAGAATGCAACCTGAAGGCTTGGAGGTCCTAATATGACCAGTGGAAACATTTAGTTTTGCCTTTCATAGTATTTTAAATTTAAATTATTGTCAGTGCTTGACAACTTGAAACTTCACCTAAAAGTCCAGATTTTGGGCTCCATGTGAATTTATCATCTCTCCTTTGCACTGTAGGGTATCTGAGAGGGCATATAGATACCGAAATTTGCTGGTTTATGGCAGCTCCTTCCCTTGGGCTGACAGATTCTTGACTCTGTGTTTCTTTCTCCCTTTCTTATGTCTTCTTTTGTTTAAATGTTAATTTTTTTCTTCAGTAAGATTATAGTACATTTACTTAGGTTATAGGTCTTTTTCCATATTTAGTCATATTTTTCAAGATTAACAGATTTAAGTCTGATATTTACGGACTGCTTTTAGAATGAGTTTCTTGAACCTTATCCATTAGCTTATTGACTCCTAGTTTCACTGAAGTGACAACTTATATGTAATGACAATTTTTGTATCTACACACAAAAAGAAAAGTGAGAGAACAGAGAAAGAGAATTATTTTGACTGCTGAGGAGATGTGGGAGGTGGCATTTGGTTGGGCCATGATGGATGTGATGAATTGTAGAGGAGATGAGCTTTAGGCTAGATAGGAAACACTGTGGGCAAAAGCAGCAACCGGAAGTGAAGAGATGCAAATGGATGGAAGAATATTTTGGAAACAGCAAATAATTTAGAATGATTTAACCATGCTAAGGTGGGGCAATCCTACTTCCGTAGTGATACTGCCTCGGAAACCCAAGGAGGGGTCGCTATGAGTCAGGGCCGACTCGATGGCACATAACATAACAACAACAACAATGATGGAAAGATGAGTTGATGAATGATTTTGAGAGGGAACATAGCTTGTTGAGATCTGTACTTTACAAAAGCAACTGTTGTTGTGTTGTTGTTATGTGCCCTCGAGTCGGACCCAACTCATAGGACCCCTCCTTGGGTTTCCGAGGCAGTATCACTACCGAAGTAGATTGCCCAACCTTCCTTCCGAGAAGTGGCTGGTGGGTTTGAATCACCAGCCTTCTGGTTAGCAGTCAAGTGCCTTAGGCACTATGCTACCAAAGCAGCTAGTAGATTAGAATAAGAAGATTGGAGCCTGGGATTCCAGTTGGTAGGGCTATTTTTCAGTAATTTAGAGAAGGAAAACTACAACTGTAAGAATGCCTAACTTGAGATAGGTGAAGGAGATGTTTCAATAAGAACCAGATTATGCTGATTTATGAAAAAGAAAGTGAAATTTTGGTTATTTGACTGAATGATGGGTCTTTTGAGGCTATCCTCTAAGTACAGGATCTGATCATTTTTATGTACACTGCAAAGCCTAGTATATTGCCTTCCTCAGACTACATGTTCAATAAGTATTTTAAATGTTTAGGTACAATTCTTAGTTAACATGAAGGATAAAACAAAATTGATGTAGATAGCTAAAAGAGTTAGTCCTTAAATTGTAATTGGAGCAAGTTCACAGAAATAAAATCCTCTAATGTTCAGAGCATGTCCATTGTCCCTGAGTTCAGACTCTATTTTATGAATGTCTTCTTTTCCTTTCTAATTATATTGATTTCAAAGTATAATATTTTGAGATGTTATATAAATTCAACTAAACATTCAATTTCCTTTTGGAAGAAATACAGGGTTTTTTTGGTTTTTGTTTTTTACATTGTGGTTTGGATGGAAGTTTACAGAGCAAATTAGTTTTCCATTCAACAGTTTATACACATTTTGTTTCATTGCAATTCCCTTAATGTAACAGCACTCTTCCCACTTCCTCCCTGGGATCCCTTTCCATCCTTCCTTCTTTCCTGCCCCTTCCTGTCTTCTGAACTTTGGGGACAAATGCTGTCCTTTTTTGGTCACTAGTGTTTAATTGTTCTGAGGAGTACGTTCCTCATGAGTGTTATTGTCCACTTTATAAGCTAATTAAGTTATTTTTTTGGTGATCTTTGTAACTGTAGAACTTTGAAGCTGTTATATTCCTAAGTCCTTTAAAGATTAAAATCAGCATTTTTATAGTGGCAAAATATAACTTGGTTTTACTTACAGAAAAAGTTTCAGTTCTGGCTGGATGACTGACTGGGAAATTAATCAAACCCACCAGCCACTCCTCGGAAGGAAGGTTGGGCAATCCTACTTCCGTAGTGATACTGCCTCGGAAACCCAAGGAGGGGTCACTATGAGTTGGGGCCGACTCAACGGTAAATAACAACAACAACAACTATCCCCCTTAATTGTTACAGTTTCGGTGAACAGATTCCTAGCAGTGCATTTCTAATGAGTAAACATTGGATTAATGGTAGTCTAGTTGTGAAGTCCTTATAAATGATACGCCTACTGTTTCTGCAAAACTCTTCACAGTATTTAACTGAGAATTAAGGCTTCATGGCATAAACTTTCCAGTGTACCACCCTGTGCTGCTGCATCTCTTTCTTTATTGGGACCATTTAATGAATCACTTTTCTTTTCAGCAGAAAATTTTAAATATGTAAATTGCACAAAAGTATTTGTTTTAAAAGCCCTTGATTAAAGTTGAGCATATTAATTTCCCTGATTCTCTATCATTGGATGTCTTTTTTTTTCCCCTCCTCAATCTATACAGGCTTTAAAAAATGGAAATTTTTTTATTGTGATTTGGGTGAAAGTTCACAGAGCAAATTAATTTTGCATACAATAGTTCATACACATTTTGTTTCATGACATTGAGTAT